AGGGGGACTGGTCGAAGAAGATTTCAGTGTTCCGAGGATAGCGATTTTCACAGGGCTTAGTACGGCGGCTGCAGATTTCTTTTCGTACTTGTCGTTGTCGTTGTTGTTGATGGCAGGGGCGGTTGTATTCTTGTTGGGTGTTGGTGGCAACAGGAGCTTGGCATTTGTCGGAGTTGCTGTTGTTGGTGGTGGTGTTCCTGCTGGTTTGCGGGGGGCTTGTTGAGGACACATCTTCGCACTGTCCTCATCGCCATTCGACGATACTGTCACACCTCCATATCATCTTGTCGCTTGGTCGGCTTCGAGAGCACTTTCACCATCAGCCCATCCAGTGGAAACATGGGTTGAGGAAAATACACACACAGCATTTACGCAAACGTTAGTACGTAGAAAGGGTATATATCAGTATCAACATCACTACCACGAGCAGCAAAACCGTCATCACACCTTCATCATCATCATCATCATCACCATCATCATCATCATCATCAACGTCATCATCATCATCATCAGCATCATCACCACGATCACCACCATCACCGTCATCGTCATCGTCTTCGTCGTCGTCGTCGTCATCATCATCATCATCAAGATCAGGGCCATACGCATCGTCATCGGCGTCGCCACCATCGGTGTTGGCATCGGCATTAGGCGCAGTCGTCGTCGCGTCCTTTGTCGTCGTCGTCATCGGCGTTGTCGTCGTCGCCGCCGTCGTCATTATCGCCGTTATCACTGTCAGATTGCCGTCAGCAGCCGCATCAGATTGCCGTCAGCATCATCAACATCCATCAGCATCTTCATCATCATGATCACGGGGCTTTGGAATCCTCAACCGCACCGTCATTGTTTCCTTCATCATCCTTACTGTTGCCGGATCTCCGCTGCCGTCGATGCTTCTGGTCTTGGTCGTGGTAGTCATGGTCGCTGTGGTGGTGATGGTGCTTGTGGTTGTCTGGGCCGAAGGTGTTGGCTGCTGTGGTCGCGGTAGTTGTCGTCGTCGTCCCGTATGTCTCGGTGTAGATTGTTGCTGTTGTGGTTGTGGTTCGTGGTCTTGCTGATGTATTTCGTCGAGTTATCAATTGATTCTAGTCTCAAGATGCTTAAACTATGATATAATATACCCGCAAAGGCCTATAGGTTTCTGGAAGTGCAGGTGTTAGCTCTGCGCGCCGTGAGCAGTTCCGCTCTGCAGTGGGCCTCGGACTTGGCTAAACTATGCTTCCGCTTCATGCTGGGAGCTTGTGTTTTGGGTTTGGGTTTCAGAGCTTGGGCATAGGGGTCGCGAGGGTTTAGGGCTCCGGGTTTAGGGTTTAGAGTGGACGTCCTGTGACTTGCTGTTGTCTCGATACGGGGCTCTTGGAACACGAGAAAAGCAGCAAGCCATCGGAGCAGGAGCAGGAGTTGTGGCAGGAGTAGGCGTTGGGGTAAGAAGAGTAAGGTTGAGAAGCCGCTGCGACGATGTTAGATCAAAGCTTATACCGACGGTGGTGAGAGCAGAGAGCATTGTCACTTAAGAAAGGATAAGGGTAACATGTGTAGAACGGCGTCAAGACGAAGACAGTTTGACCGGTCATGGTGATGTTCTTTGCTTTGTCCAGATGTAGAGCCATTGATTGTCTCACGCCTGAGTCCATGCACGTGGCCATCGCCCGCTTGGGCCAAGTCTGTGTCGCCGGGGGCTGAGATTTCCCTCTGTCTCTTGGCCATGTGCTCCTTGCAAAATATGATGGCAATGGCGATTGAAGAGTAAGTGACTTCATTGTTGCCTTAGCGCAAGCTTGGGCTGCTCCTGTGTCTGGGATGAGGCAGAGAAGTGTGGGGCTAGCCTTAAAGGCATGCTCCAGGCTGCCATGTCTCTCCTCCTTTTTTTGGGGTTGGAAGTTTGTGACATTGTTGGCTGAAACACCACTATCGGGGTGGTGGTGTTTCAGCTTGCAGACCTTCAACCCTAGAGAAGCTCCTGGACCCTGAATCCCTAGAGCCCTAAGCCCTAAGCCCTAAACCCTGAACCCTAAACCCTAAACCCTAAGCCCCTGAACCCTGAACCATAAGCCCCTAAACCCTGAATCCTGATTCCTTGAGGCACACCACCGAGTTCGGACGCGCTTGTGGATCTCGCGCTTAGAGGCCAGTCCTCCCTTAAAAGACCATCCTGCGGCTTCAGCTTTTTTGTGTGTCGGAATTGATGTAGGGTTAGGGTCATAGTCAATGATTATGATTGTTATGTCGGTTTTTGTGTGTCTTAACTGATATAGGATCATAGTCAATTATTCTGAGCTTCAGTTTTTAATTTTTGTGTTCTACTTGATTTAGGATCATAGTCAATCATTATGATTGTTATGCTGATGGTCGTGATGATGGCAGCCAGCTTGTTTTCTGAAGCCTAAACTCCCTAGACCCGAACCCTAAACCCTGTGGCTTTCTGACGGAAGGAGATCAACCGCAGCACAAACGACGAGAGCGTGTACGACTCGAAGGTTCGACGATTGGCAGATGCACCTCGCTCAAAGAGTTTTTCCGATGGGAGGCTAGGGTTCAGGGTTTAGGGTTGAGGATTTAGGGTTTAACTAGGGCTTAGGGGAATGTACGACGTAGGAACTAGCGGTACGTGTCGAAATCAGCACACCGACGGAAGGAATCCACCGGAAAAGGGTGCTTCTGCCCAAAATTGAGGATCCCTGCGTTTACTATGGAAGTTAGGGTTCCTTATTGTAGCTAAATACTACTATGAAGGAACCGAAACCTTATTCTAATTTTTAAGACCCCTACATTACATTATCCTGTTTGCAGCGCCCTAGTCGAACGGCACGATCAGAATTCCAGAATGTCTACAGCCCCATGTAGCAACATCGAACAAGCCAGTTTCGCAATGGAGATGATGCTAATACTATTCGTGCTACATGACTTGGCCTTATATAAGCCTTTATACCGAGTATGCATGAGAGAGAACGTTATGAACAGGATACGTGATACTGGGTGGTGGTGCTTCTGATGGTTTTGATGTTCACGACGGCCGTCATCGCTAGCACTAGTATCCTCAGCATCACCATCGTCATCGCTATCATCTCCAGTCTTGAGGATGCACTACGTCGGCGGATGGAGGTGCCTTTGCCGGGAAGCTCCGCCCACTAGTTCAGTATGTGGAGTGCAAGGTTTAGGTCTTGACACTCGCAGCCCTGTAAACCCTGACCGGGGTCAGGGTTTAGGGAGAGGGGCCTGTGCCATGGTTGCTTGTGAAAATGGATGCGGGCAGTGAGTTCGTGATAGTAAAGCTGACAAGACAAAGTTGCAATAGTCAGAATGCTAAATCCCGGACCCGACGGAGTCCTAAATCCTATAAATCCCGAAACCGAAACAACTCTGAGGCAGTGTCAGACAGTGGCCACTCGGAATAGCTCCAGAAAGTTCGAAGCCCTATAAACCCGAAGCCCTGAGAAGCTCACCACATTGAGGTAGTGCCCATAAGGGCGACCGAGCCATGCCGCAAAGCTGAGACACAGTTCTGGGCAAGCGCCAGGAAATGAATATGTTTGATCCTCAGGGCGTCGATCCGGAGGATGTTGACCCAAAGGCTAGTGATTCAGAGGTCTCGTTCGGCACTGACGACCACATTCCGCCTGAATTTCCGGAAGCTTTGGAGGAAGATGAAGAGGACGACCGAGTTGTTGCACTGATGCAATTCTTCAAGCAGATGCTGGCGACGCGGCCAGAAATAGTACGTGGAGTCCGTGTTTGGAAGCTGTTGCGCTACTTGCCGTCGGCGTGGCTCCATGGCAATCTCAACAATCTGCACGCATTGAGTGAACCGACAACACATCTGGATCAGTTTTGGTCCCACAGCTGGCACGGGTCGCAGTGGACCAAGTATGCCAACATGCTTTACCTGCATAATTGCATGCCGGCAAGCATTGCAGGAATATTAAGTGCAAGCGTAGCCTGTGGCCTCGTCTCAGCAGGATTTCTGGGTGCACGGCAGGGATGGTGCCTGCTCTTCGGGTTTGTGGCTTTTTGCATCACCTTGCTACTTTGGCATGCGCGAAAGCTGGTGTTTCTAGACATCGCGTGCATTCACCAAACTGACGACGCCAGAAGGGCAGAGGCCATCATGAGTATGGGTGCATTTTTGAATCGGTCGACTTCCATGCTGGTTCTGTGGGATCCTACATGGGTCACAAGACTGCGACTTGGATTCATTTCGGTCTTGCTTTAACATAGGGGCCAAAATAATTGCCGATAGTATGGTTGGGGGTTTCTTATTATAATCATAGTAGAATATTCTCCCAAACCCTATTCTATTTATTAAGGCCGCCACATTATCCGTGATCGCCAACCAAAAGACTCGGTTCGTACACCGGACAAATGACCCCTCGCAACCTAACGAGGGGCCCTTAATCATTAGAATAGTGGGCTCCTTTATAGTATGTTTACAATAGACCCCAAGGAATAAGATTGGTAACTATTGAGGTTTCTATATTAAGGTGGTGCATCTTCGAAGTCGCTGCATTGCTACACAGCCGCAGCAAGGCAGACCGCAAGGCAGACCTACAGATCATTCCTCCCTTGCTAGGGCCCGCACTTCTGGGCTGCGAGATGCTGTTATGCGTGCAAAGCGTGCTATACTTCTACATAGAATCCTCCGTGGCTTCTTCAGACGAGGCAATTGTCGCGGGAGAACGATACATAATGCTCGTCGGTCCTCTTGGCCTGCTTTTCGGCTTCGTGACGCACACCTGGCGAGGTTATGCCCGCAGTATTGAGACGCTGCAAAAGCAACTCCGTGAGTTCAAGGTTGAGCATGCCAGAAGCGCTTGCTGCGACCGCGGCCACGAAGAAAACTCTGTTATATGCGACCGTGAGATTATTCTGCAGTGCATCGCTGCGTGGTACAACTCGCTGGGCAGCTTTGAATCGCAAGTGCAAACTGAAGTCCGGATGGCTGTCATCGACCAGCTTGGATACAAAGTCTTCACTTATCAGCGAGCCTTGCTCATGTTGACTCCACATGCCTGGCTTCGTCTCGAGTATGTTTCTAGCCATGCAGGAGATGCCATCCGACAGGTCGCCGACCTGGCCCAGATGTTCACGTACTTGCTGGCAATTTTGCCTGTGGTGAACAAACTGGGCATCTGTTTGTGCTACCGCTTGCGAGCACGATGTTGCAATCCCTGTTTGGACTTCTTGCTTTCGATGGCCGTCGTGATCGGAAACTTCACGCTCTTCGTCGCCTGCTACGCGGTCCAGCTCTATGTCTTCCGTCAAAATGAGCAGGGCCTTCTCCTGAGCGTGACCTCGATGCTTTCATGGTGTATGGTTGCGGTCATCCTGTGGCGATGCATTTGAGCAAAAGAGGGCCAAACCGGCTTTAAATTGGCCGCAAGCCTCAAAAGTTGAACTTGACTGAAATCTGAAAGATCAAACCCTGAACCCCAAACTGACGTCAGTCGGCCCGAGGCCACTCCACGAAGAAGTCATGAGTCATGAGAACAAAGAGAGGCTTTTTGCAATAGGTGTACAGACGACAGGAAAAGGCATCGTGCAAATTGCTGAAGAGACATGTCAGAAATGTGGCAATCACTGCTGGAAATAAGGATCGGAAGGAACAAAAATGGCTAGGCTCACTATCAAGCCACTACCACTCAGAAGAACCAAGAGGACATTTCTTCGATATCAGTAAAGCCAGCCCACACTACTGTCAAGACCAAGCATCAGAATTATATTGATACTGGGGCCAGGCAAGCGATCATAGGAACGGCAGAACTTTGCACGGATGACGCCGAAACCCTATACCCACAACCTTCAACAATCGCTTCGAAGGCGGAGATGGCCGATGCCCGGCAGGACATGGAGAACCGAATTCGAGACTTTCACCTGGAGGCATTGGGCGAACCTAAACCCCTGAACATCCAAAGCCCCCCACCCATGGCTTTGATTCCGAAGGGCCGTTGCTGAGGGCCTTTCTCAGAAGCGTGGCAGGCTCCTTTTAGTGCACCCAGGACCTAAACCCCACACCCTCAACCCTAAACCCGAAGCTCTAAGCAATACATAGACAGGACCATGTCGCCAGCTTCCGTGTCCCTCAATGCCAGGTCGACAGGCGGATGGAAGCGCAGGCTGGACAGTATAGCCTAGTATAGCAGTCTGTTCTAATTTTTCATGCCCAGAGACATGATGGAAATGCCTTTGTATCATCTAGCGGTCCCGAAAGAACACAAGCACAAGCGTTTACAGGGATGTCCCAACTGTGTTGGATTTTTGTTATACAAGCGTTTATATCGAACATCCTTCATCAATCTGTTTTGCTTGTGTGCTTTGTTCGATCCCTTGTGTATACATGTATGTATGAATGCCTGCATGTGTGCATGCCTGCATGCCTGCATGGCATGCATGCATGCATGCATGCATGCATGCATGCATGCATGCATGCATGCATGCATGCATGTATGTATGTATGCACTCCCTCACACACAGACACACACACACAGACACAG